ACAATTAAATGCAGATGTCTTGTGCTTAGGTTGAATGATTTGGGAAAGACAATTAGCAATGTATGTACCATTGTTACCGCCTGATGCTTTAAAAAAATAAAAAAGCAAAACAAAGCAAAAGCTAGAATGCCTGCTTCACAATCTTTTCTGTAAAACCTGAGCAAACAGATTGTGTTTGTAGAATTGAAACCACATGTAAAACATTATAGTCACTGATAAAACAATGTGGAATTTATTTTTTTGCATTTTATTTTTTTTTATTTTGAAAGTATACAACAGAACAAGTCAGAATAAAGCCAACTAAGATTGTACAGTGAAATTGGCATAGAACTTCACAGCAGGTTACTGGGATAACAGTAATAGGTATCACAGTATATTTTGTTATCTTTATAATAGTTGTTCTTTCAGTCACGTATATCAAAATGAGATGAAATATAGAACACCATAGAACTTATCAAAACAGAATATTGAATAGAGCAGTACCATTAATTAGAAAAGAGCAAAACAGTAATAAAAATATTTGCCTTCAAAGAAATGGTAGAAGGAAGTCCCCCTTATTTGCTATGGTCAACCTGCCAGGAGATGCTCAGATTTCTGGTTCCCATTTGCTAATGGGTGGGGGGAGGGAGAGAAGGAGGATAGGGGAAGTGAGATATTTGACTCACTATTGCTAAGTAGGGAGGCAGGATGGTCATTTGTTTTCACAGCGTCCTCATTTCCAACATGGCATGGATCTCAGGAGACACTGCTGGTTCTCCCCCTGGAAGGGCTGCAGTCTGCCACCCTGCCTCCTCTTACCAGGGAGGGGAGGTGCTTGCTTGGCTTCAGAGAGTCCTAAGTTCCAACATGGTGTGGATCTCAGGAGACAGTGCTAGTTCTCCCCCTGGAAGGGCTGCAGTGGGCCACACTGCTGCCAACAATGTGGAATTTCAAGACACATTAAAATGCACCTGGTCATTATGTACTCATTCTTTTAGAAGAATATAGTAGTGTAACAGTAAGGCATTTGGACTCAACAGGAATCTTGTCACTATAACTTATTCTAGACAGCCATCTATAAAGCAAACCACACATCGAAAAGAGAAGCTATCTTTTTATTTTTTGGTTGTTCCATAATCTCAGGTCTTGGATTTGTTCTGTGATAACTCTTATGCTGGGTAAGTGTTATTAACCTCTGCTAATTCTAATAATTAATGATTACTCTTCCCAACCTGAATTTGCCTGACCCCTCATTCTGAGATACCATCAACTCTTTTCTACTCCTGTCCATCACAAGACTTAATCTTTCTTCTCTAATGAATTCAAATACTCTTTCCCCTAGACATCCTCAGAATCACAATTATCCTTATATATAATATCAAAAGACTATCACCAACTTTCAATTCAAAATAGCAGAGAGATACAAAGAGTCATAACTTATTGTAAATAAATTCAGGCAGTAGTATTGTCAATGCACATGAAAATGAAATCATTTTGGGATAGTTTTATGCAAGAATCAGAAAATTTGAATTTCTTGTTGCATATTAGATTTTCTGTAATCAAAATTGGCTAAATGTTTAATTGATATTTCACTCTTTTTTAGAATTTTGGTATCAAGTTTTCACTCAAATTAGCAACATATATGTGTATGTATATGTTTATATAAACATGTAATATGTAAAGATAAATATGTGTACATACACCTAGGCACATATACACACATAAGCATACAAACACATATTACATGTCATAGTTGGAAATTGTGCCTTGGTTATCAATATGGTTTAAAAATTGCAAATCATTAAAAAATTAATCTGTATTACAAGATGACTGTGATAATAATTTAACATTTTAAGGCTGACTGATATAATAAATATAGTTTTAGATGACTGATATGCTACAATAATTAAAAGATGAAATTAGTATAGAAATAGATGCAGTGATTCTCTTACTCCACAAAGAGTCTAGAAAAATACCCACTCCTAAGTGAACAGTGGTGTTACTGCTGAATTGGCATTTCAATAAATAAACCATTTAATAAAAGATACTAAGAAACAAAAATGAATTTGCTTTGGCTCACATTAGAAGCAAATAATAAATTTAAGATGGCTTCAGTTTCAATTGCAAAAGCAAAATTGAGTAACCTGTAAAGAGGCAAACAGGGGCTTCATTATTCATACTTATTGAGCTTAGAGCAGGAAGAAAAACTTGACAAGTTAAACCAAATTAAAACTAAGCACAGTGAGCACCTAATAAATACTATAAAGCACATTAAAAAAAAGATTCACTTTTAAAGACTGAATTAGCAATTTGTACGAACTCCAAAAATTACTATTCTGATTATATGAAAGAAACTTTCATGTAAAAGATGGAAAACCCAAAAGAAATACCATAAAAGCTTATGTCACAAGAAAGTAAAATAAGGGGCCAGGGATTTAGCTTAGCTTAGCAGTGTAAGAGCCTGCATGGAAAGCACAAGGTCATAAATTCGATCCCTGATACAAAAGAAGAAGAAGAAGAAGAAGAAGAAGAAGAAGAAGAAGGAGGAGGAGGAGGAGGAGGAGGAGGAGGAGGAGGAGGAGGAAGGAGGAGGAGGAGGAGGAGGAGGAAGGAGGAGGAGGAGAAGAAGAAGAAGAAGAAGAAGAAGAAGAAGGAGTCGTCAATGGCAATAATATATGAAATGATTCTCAATCTCATAATAAAAGGGTGAATTAAGTGTTATTTTACAAGCATTAGATTGTCAGAATAACTGAAAATGTTTAAGAAATTATGTTGAACAATAGCAATATCTAATAGAAAGGTAAGGTAACTGATTCAAACACTTAGGAAAACTTTTTGGAAATACCACAGTATGACAAGTATTTCTGTCCTGGCCAGTAATTGCATATGAGATATAAAACTTTGTTTCAAAAGACATTGAGGAGTGTATTCAAACAGAAAAATAACTGAAAATTTCATCAACATGCTATATACATATATCAACTCTACAAAAGAAATGAAAACATTACATATGGAAAACATGTACTGACATAAAAAATTTTTAAATTTTATCAATACCAGAAATCTCTTTATTTTAATACACATAATATAAAAACATAGAACACTGAAAACAAATGAGCAACATTTAAGCACAATAGCATAATTATAGTACAAAATGATGAAACTAACAAGAGACATGACACTTAGTAAGTCTGAAATTTAACAAGGTCAAAAAAAAACAGTTTTGCAGTTAAGTCTATGTTTATTTATAGTCCTGATTAAAATGCATTGTACTCCAATGAAAATGCCAGTTTTATAGGCAAAATGCTTGAGTACTTACCATGTGAGATGATGTCTAGTGTTGCAGGCAGAAAATGAATTTTCCAAGATCAAAGCAAGGAAAAGGGGCATTTCTTGCATACAGGACAAAGAACTGTGGGTGAGTTCCCAGAGAGAAGCCAGGAGAACTCTTTGTAATTAAGGACCCCTGAAAAAAAATTGTAGATGAGGCATGCAAGCATGGGAAGAGAATGTTAGAGAGAATAAGGAAGTCCATATCTTCCTCATCTCCTTTGAGCTGGCGAAGCTTGTCATCTTTAGCAGATACAACATGATGATATGAGACAATATAATGACCACACTTGTTATAGGAAGAAATGTTAATGACTAGTTTTTAATTGTTTCTTGAAACAGAATCTTATTTTTTAATGAAGTTTGGCCTTGAACTTACTATGTAGCCGATGCTGACCTGGACCTTGCACAATACTCCTGCCTCAGCCTCCCAAGTCCTGGGGACTACAGGTGTATGCCACCAGGCCTGGCTATTGCTATAGGTTTTTGAAACAATTCATTTTGAAGCAGAGTCCATGACTCTGACATAAAATGGAATGGAATAGCCAAATGGAAGGCAAAACAGCCTCTCCCTCATTCCTTGGGACTCCATAGTACTGGTAATCGATAATGGCTGAACCAACACAACTTCTTTCTCCACAATTAAAATGCATCCTTACCTTCTCAGTGTCTTCTACCCTTTTGTCAGTCATAATATGAAACATAATCATAGTTAGAGTCCACCCAGATAATCTAGGAAATCTCCTCCACACAAGTAGGATTGACACATTTATTTTATAAGATAATCACCTACTATTGGGACAGGATCAGGATATATTGTTAAGGACATTTTAAGTTCAATACAAAGGTTAAGTCTGATGAATCCATGGAAAAGTTAAATAGCAGTGCACCAAGGGAAAGGTCCTGAATTCTCCAACTCTGGCACAACACCAAGATTTAGTACAATCATTAAGGACTTGGGACATCTCACAGAGAATCAAATGAAAGCCAACTCAGTGTTCTAATATATTCCTCTTAAGTCATTGTAATGAAAGTACTTATCTTTACTGTTTGGATTTATTAATGTTGAGTTTCTTTCTCTTAACAAAACTAAAAACATCTTCACTAATCAATTTCATAGATTCAAATCAGTGATATTAAATAATTATGAAATTTTTGTAAGTAATAACCCTAAATATGATGGATATTATTATTTCCATGAAGGCTATACATGTGAGGAACACTGCTCAGTATATGCTTCATAGGCTATGAATATCCAAAGTAGGACTTGTTCTAGAATGAAATTCACATGATTCTAACCATACAACCTGATGGAAACCATTTTGTATATACAAACACAGATGTGTTTAAACACTATTCCTACCTAACCCTAACCCATCTTTTTAACTCATCTTTTTATAAAAGTGCACCTCCACCAAAAAAATTGTTAAAATTAAAAGCCCTATTTCAAGGTCTGCCTCTGTGTAACTTGAGTGAAGAAATTATGTTTAGAATATGAAATCATGTGTTAAATTTCACTGTTAGACTTCAATCAATTTTAGGATTTAAGGCAACTTAAATGCACCTGATCATTTCATTATATTATCTACTTATTTTGGAAAAATGCAGTGAGAGGACTCAATATATTGTCAAACCAGTAATCCTATCATTTTCTTTGTACTCAAGAAATGCAAGTCCAAAAATAATACAGCTCATCCTACAACACAAGTTATCTTACTGACAAGTTTCCTCAAAGCATTGCTCATGTCCCTATTCCTTAGACTATAGATAAAGGGGTTAAGCATCTGAGTGACCACAGAATACATTACTGGAGCCACTGGGGCTCTCTTAACTGATTCTGTAACTGCAGAGCTGATGTACACCCCAAAACCAGTTCCATAGAACAAGGAGACAACAGATAGATGAGACCCACAAGTGGAAAAGGCTTTATACTTTCCACCAAATGATGGCATTCTCAAGACAGAAGATATGATGTAAATATAAGAAAAAATGATTCCAGAAAGAGGAGTACTAGCAAATAGGCCAGCCACCAAATATACCAGGAGGTTATTGAGGAGGGCATCAGAACAGGTGATTTTAATAACTTGAGCAAGTTCACAGAAGAAATGAGGGATTTCCAGGTCTGTACAGAAGGACAGCCGGAGTGCCATCAGACTGTGGAGCAGGGCATGCACAGAGCTAATGAGCAGGGAGAATAGAACCAGCAAGACAGAGAGGCGGGGATTCATGATGATTGTGTACCTTAGAGGGTGACAAATAGCCACATAGCGGTCATAGGCCATTACCGCAAGAAGACAATTTTCCAAGCCACTAAAAACCAAGAAAAAGCAGAGCTGGGACAAGCACCCTGTGTATGTGATACTATGACTCTCAATTTGGATGTTCACCAGCATCTTTGGGACCGTGGTTGTGCTTAAACAGATATCATTAAATGACAGAATGGTGAGAAAGAAATACATGGGGGTGTGGAGGTTAGAGTCAGATCTCACAACCAGGATTATGAGCAGGTTTCCCAGAAAGGTGATCATGTACATGAACAGGAAGAGGCTGAAGATGAGGGGCTGCAACTCTGGGTCATCTGTCATTCCCAGCAGGAGGAATTCTGAGACAACTGTTCGATTTCTGAAATTCATACTGTTGTAGAACCTGATGGAAAAAGACGGGATGAAAATATAAAATTATGGACAGCAGCAATAGCATTTGCTACCACCGCTTGGGACCAAAAACTCTGTGGGGAACAATTGGAATCCTCAGATTCCAAATTGAAAAACTGAAAAATAAATTTCTCTTGTAAGACCACATGGTTTCTGGTTCTTGGTTATGGCATTTCAATGATATGCTCAAAAACTCCTCACCAACTTTTTATGATAATTCAAATTTTTTATTTTATATTACTATATTTTTAAAAGGGTAAATTTCTGTTCTGTTCTTTGACAGGGTATGAGACCAGCAGAATAAAAATTGGGTGCATATTAGTGCAAACATCAGGAGACTGGATGAAGACATAGTGACATGAGGGACTTATTTCCACCATTTCTATAGCTTCTTTTTCGTTCACCTCATTCCCAGGATTAAAGGCTAGTAACACATTTACTAACCCATCCAAAGAATTAGCTAAAAGGCTTTCTGTGGCTTGGTAGACTTCAAGAGAAATGATGTTCAGCATCTCACCTGGATATTGAAAATAGAAATCTGCCCTCAGGAAGAGCCGACAGATTAATGGAGGTAACAGTCACCTGGCCCAGAAAGACAATCTCTGAGAGGAAGCTCTGGTGTTGTTCGTTGCCTGGGGCAGGACTGATGAAAAGAGGTAGTTACAGGCTGATATATCTGTTGTCTTTCTGTTCCTGGGGCTGAATGTCCAAAGCTCCAGATATTTCCCTATGGCTAACATCCCAGAGGTGCAAATCCTCAAAGACCTACTCTAGAAGCGAGGAATTGGTAATGGCTGATTTCCTGACTCAGGAGCCACACTGCACCATTCACTTCTCTCCCTTGTTTCTGTTCATCTCCATTTCATGCGCTTTGCATCTAAAACACTAAGCACTTTTTTAATACTGTACTCAAAAATAAAGGGATCTCTACATAACTACCAAGATCTCTATGTAATCATGACATCAGGAAGTCAGACTCATTTGTGTGATGTAAAATATGTCTTCTACGTGTATAAAATTACGCAATTAGAAGTATTAACTAAGATGCCTTCAGCTGTGACTTTTATACATATCACTGATGTTCTGAACTCTAATTTTATATTTTTATGCTTTGGACAGAAGATTCTAATGTATTGATGTAAATGTCAAAAATATGGGCAGGACCATGGTTCCTCCCTAGAATTTCATACAAAAATGTTTTCAACATTGTTGCAATGGTTTCTTCACTAATGGAAACTGTGAGTTAAAATCATGATGCTTCACTTTTAAATGAGATGCTACAACAAAACAAATCAACAACAAAGTAAAAAGACAACTCACAGAGTGGGAAAAATCTTTTAGCCAATTGTCCTTCAGACAAATGAGTTTTAGCTAGAATGTATAAAGAATGGAAAAAAATCAAACCTCCTCAAATTCAAAGACCCAATTCAAAAATGAGCATCTGTGAAGACCATACATCTCAGATAAATAAATGCCAATGGTCAATAAATTTATGAAAAAAATGTTCAACAAAACTAGTCATTCAATAAATGCAAATCAGAACAACCCTGAAATTCCATCTCACACTAGAAAGAAAGGCTGTCATCAGGATCTCAACCAAAAACAAATGCTGGTAGGACTGTGGGAAAAAAAGAATGCTTCTCCAATGTTGGTAGGAGAGTAGACTGGTGTTATCACTGTGGAAGTCAGTTTGGAGATTCGTAAAAAACCTAGGATTAGAGGTCTCATTTATACCAGCTGTTCCCTTTCTGGGAATTCAATACATCATACCAGTGATATATATGCACCCATGTTTATAGTGGCATAAATGGTAATAGCTAAATATTGGAAACAGCCTAACTGCTCATCATCCAAGCAATAGCTTAAAAAGATATAATATTTTTATACAAGGGAGTACTATTTAGTCAGAAAGAAGGATAAACTTGAGACTTTTATAGGTAAATGGATGTAATTTGAGACCATACTTATAAGCGAAATAAATCTGACTTGCATGTGTAAACCATATTGTCTCCCTTGTGTGAGAAATTGGAAGAGTAAGTGAGTTCTAAAGTGCACAATAGATATTATGAAATAGGCAGAAATTGTTCAAAAGGAAAAAGGAACTAGGATTGGTGAAAAGGGAAAGGACAGTAGGGAAAAGTGTAGAAATGCAAGTCAGTTGTAGTGCTAGTGTCTCTTAGTTCATTAAAAAGCAAAGTTTGTGCTAATATGGATTAGAGAATTTTTATGCCCATATATTGTACTCTGTAATAAAGATAGCAACATGTAATGTATTAACTATTGTTATTCTCCTATTATTTTGTTATGAAATTTTGTTTTGCTTTTTGCCATAAAATAAAAAATTTAAATAAAAAAATGAAATGCTACTTCAATTGCAAAAGCAACAAATGTCACTATAGGCAAAGATTGTGCATACACTCAGCACATATGTTCAGATTTCAATCATCATTTCATAGGTATAGATGAGCTTTCATGTTGGTGTCCATTTTAAGACTTTTTGTTAAGGGATTTCCATGTTTTCATTCATTTATCAATATATCTATGTGACATTTATTTATATAGAGATATATAATTTTTATTGTAGATTTTTAAAATGTATGGTAAAATGGCTCTGGGAGGGTTTTCATAATCAAATCCACCCACTTTTAAAAAGAGGAAAAATAAGTAAAATAAAAATATTCACAAATGAAATTGTAAAACAAAGCTCTATTTTTCCATCAGCCACAGACAAGTAACATGAAAAACAGGATTAAATTATCCTGGGTCACAAACATATTCAAATATTACATGGGTATTGGACAAAGGAATCTGTGTGGTTTTATTTTATGAACTAAAAAGTATTTCAGTTTTCCAGGTAATGAGAAAAAAGTCCTAGTTGCCATGGATGGATATAGAGCTTATTACTTATTTATATGCTTTTTTTTCAAACAATATCTTTAGGGCTGGGGATTTAGCTCAGCGGCATAAGCGCATGCCTTGCAAGCAGGCAGTCATGAGTTCGATCCCTGGTACCAATAAAAACGAAAATGACAAAAAAAATTTCATTGCAAATAATATCTTTGTGAGACACAAAAATAATGATTTGATTTTTATATACATTGAGCAGTAATCAGTTTTTAGAAAATAACATACTAAATGCTGAGACTTCAACATTTTTTCTTTTTTTTATTTAAGGAGAAAAAGAAAAAACAGAAAAAGGGTACAAGTAATACAGAATTTAAAAAATAAACAGTAAGAAATCACTAGTTAATAGATTACATATTATCATCTTAGAAATAGTTGTTCAAGTTACAAAATTGAAGCATATAAAGTGGACTTTCAAACAGTGCGACTGGAAACAGTTTTGTTTAATGATCCAAAAAAACTCAGTAATATGGTTATCTATCTTAAACATGGTTTAATAGTAATATGGTTATCTATCTTAAACACTTAAACATGTATGCAATTATAATCTTTAGAGCATTTTCTTTTCCTTTCTTTGACACATTTTGGGTTTTATTATTCCCACAGTTCTTATTACTTTTTTTGAAGAGAGTAAAACCAAATGCAGCATATCAGAACAGAGTCAGTCAAATCAAAAGGATGGACATAATAGATAATGTAAAAACAAAATACTAGGTGATCAACAATGGTTACCATACTGCCTCTTGCTATTTTAAGAAGACTTGCCAGTTATAATAAAATTGAACAAAGCAGTAAAGAATAAAACCAAAGCATTGGAGATATTACAGGACTTTAAAAGAAGATAATAGTCAACCGGAATGGGCGTCATAATGAATCTTATTGCCTTCACAGTTTGCCTATACTTTCGAACTTGGTACTATCAAGCAAAGCAGAATAGGGGAAAATCAGTCAAAACAAGATAGTGAGGGCAATACAGGATTTCAAATCAAGTGAATAGGAAATCAAAGTAGGTTACTATAATGTATCCTGCTATTTTTAAATTTATTTTTCCCTTAATTAAAAAGATAAAAAGAAAAATGTAAATAATTTTTAAAAAGGGGGGATTGAGATAAAAGAGGGCATAACAACAGAACAGCGCAGGTCAAAATGTAAGCATTTAAGCAAAATAGTGTTTCACCACAAGATATCCTGACATAAAAATAGTTACCATAGTGTCTCTTTCCTTGAAATCTTTGAGTATAACTTCGTATACTGTAACACCAAACATCAAGACACTATAAAACCATTCAAGAGAATGACATTATTATCAGGTATTTAGAACCAATTAACAGAAAATGAACAATGGTTTCTGTATAATCTCCTTGTCTATAAAAGCTTTTACTTATATTATCATGTATAATAAAATCCAATAAGATACAACCTTTAAGACCAATGGAGACAGAAGAATACAAGTTTGATGGGACTTCAAAACAAGATGATACTAAATCAGCACTAGCTATTTGTTTTCTCCAAAATAGCTGTTCCTACCATCCAATCTTCTCTGCCTCATTTCTGTTGAGATCTTTTTCTGTCATTTGTTGTCAGTTTGTCTTCTTCATTTTGCTTTCTGCTCCATTCTTTGTGGCCTCTCTGCCACTATTTCTGGAATCTTGGTATTTTCCTTTTTTTAGAATATCCTGCAGTATTCTCTGTAGAGTTGAATTGGTTGTTGCAAATTCCCCTATTTCCTCTTTATCCTGGAAGCACCTTGTTTTTCCATCTATTTCTAGGGACAGTTGTGCAGGATATATCAATCTTGGCTGGAGGTTGTTATCTTTCAAAGCTTGAATTATTTCCCCCCACACTCTTCATGATTTGATGGTTTGTGCTGAGAAGTCTGCTGTAATTCTGATGGGTGTTCCCTTGTAAGTGATCTGTTTCTTGTCTCTGATGACTTTTAATATTCTGTTCTTATATTCGATTTCTGGAATTTTGATTATTATATGCCTGGGTGTAGCTCTGTTTGTGTTGTAGGTGGCTGGGGTCCTGTATGCTTCATACATCTGAGTATCTTTACCTTTTGCTAAATTAGGGAAATTCTCTTGGATTATTTC